ATCATGAGGCAATTGTTACCACAAGAATAGCCAATAGATATGCACTGGTATAGGATGGAAAAAATCTATCTCACGAATACCTATTTTTTTCGCCACTTCCCGATTGCCTCTATATATAGAGAGAGAGATTGCAGTTAAGCCGCAGCAGTACTGCGTGGAGCAACACAGGCGCGTCACTTCTGTTTCCTCACCACTGCTGGCCCTTTTACAGGCCAGCTCCAGTCTTACGACCGGAAGCCCTTTTACGTCTGGGAGTAGCAGCCAAGGCCCTTCGCTGGGCAGTCTTGCCGTAGCGCAATAGCGCCGTAGCAATGTACGCTATAGCATTCGCGTCTTCCCCTCAGATATGTAAATCGTACGATGTGACCTCCCGTCGTAGAATTTTTATATATTTCTGTACAGATTCGAAATGAGTCGTTGTTGTGAGCGAGCTTGAAAAAATATGGGTTTTCCTGCGCAAACTTCATTTTGATTCAAATTTTGCAATTGTTTTTTGTTGGATTTTCTATGATTTCTCCACGAATTTCCAAGAATTTTTGTTTGGGTTCCACTGTCTGAACTTCGTTGTCCGATTTTGCCTCACCACATCGGTCTTTGCCATTCACTTATTATTAGCGGTACTTTTTGTTTTTTTTAAGAGTCCAAGGCATAATTTTTTTTTGCTCAGAGCTTGATTTGTTGAGTTTTTTTTCAAGCGTTACTCCTCCCCTCGGTTTTTATTCCGTCATGATGAAAATTCACGCTGTTCTGGTTGATTGCATATAGTTCTTTGTTTGTCCGCCCACTACATTCCTTCAGTACAATTATTTCATTGTCTTTTTTTTTAATGTTTATACCACGATCATAGGCGGATCCAGGATGGACTCCTGGGAGAGGGGAAGGAGGGGTTTTTTAATATATATACGAACATACATACATATATATGTCACGATCATAGACGGATCCAGGGCGTACTTTTGAGAGGGGAAGAGAGCGACAGTAATAGAGAGGAGAGTCCCCTTTCACTTTGGAACTATGCAAAAACTAGGAATAAAGTTGTAACACACTGCTACTTAGAGTTGCTTTAGGCTTTAGTTTACTTTAGTTTTAGCTTTAGATCCGGACTTCTGCAGCACTGGATCCGCCTATAACCACAATTACTAGGAGGTCACTCCGATGGCCGTTGTCTGGATCGTTCCTGCACGACAGATTCAGTTGACCCGTTTGTTCGGCCCTCAACTAGCCCCTACTCGATACTGACCGCTCATACGACAATCGCCTTTTGCCTTCCCAAAACTGCTGGTCTAGTCGTTTCGTTCTACTGGCATACCGCTTATTTCTTAGTGGGAAATAACTCAGAAATTTCCACA